GGTGATGGAGGAGCCCCGAAGGAGGTCTGTGAGTTGCTGAAAGTATGCCCAGTAAGAGATTAATGAGACTCTGGCCACTCCCTTTTCTTTTGTTCCCTCGGCTATGATGAGACGAGAATCCCTGTTCTGCCATAGCTAGTGCCACTACTTGTTCACTTGATGTTCCTAAGTCACAGTCCCCATTTCTCTTATCTAATTCACTTTCATCTTCACCCCTGCCAAGCATCTTAATAAGCCTGCTCATATACTTCTGTAGCCACACACCTTAGACAGAGATGGCACTGGACACATAGTAATGAATGGAAAAGGGCTGACAGGGTAATCCAATCATCTGTCAACATTCATGGGCACCTTGGTTTTTATACATCAGAAAACTACTTACTGGCAACTTCTCAAATACCAGGCTTTGTATTAAAGGTTGATATGTGTTGTTTCATCTACAGAGGTAGAGTAGGTAGCAGAATATTTTTGAAAATGAAAGTGTGCAAAAGAAAAGGGAGAGACTAACAGACTTCAGTGCGTCAAACCAGGAATGACTGGATGCTTCTGATAGAATGGGACCAGTCATGATATGTTGGTAGGGAAGAAGAGAGAAAAGAAACCAAAACCTCTTTTTCCACAAGATCCCCAGTGGTTATGTCATTATATCGGTCATCACGGATGTCTGCATGTTGACTGTTCTGCTCTGGGATTGTCAAGGAACCTCCACTAATGAGGCAGTATGAAACAGTGGAGGAAAGCAGTAACTCAGTGTCCAGTGAGTCTGTTGTCTTTGTTTGGTAGCTTTGTATGCCTTGTCCTGGTTCTGCACATCATTGTATGTGTGGCATTAGACAAGCTACTTCAACTCCTGTCTATAAGGATGATGCACCCATACCTACCTCATAGAATTGCATAAGATACTAGAGGCAAAATATAAACATACACAAATACTCCTTAAATGTCCCTCTTCTGCTGTCTTTCCCCATTAGACCTGAAGAATTTGAAAGTACTAGACATGAACAATCAGGAAAAGGTGCTTCTCTTCAGCATTTTCCAAGATTATAGAAAATTTCTTTCCTTGCGTCATATTGTTAGCTGCTGGTTCTTAAGTATATTCTTGGAAGACTTAACATTGCTTATAGATGCTTTACTCTGCAAAACGTAAAAAGAAGTTCATATAAATTGTAATTTCTCAGTCATGATGGATAGCAACACAATTATGAAATTCCGAACTCCCTGGTTTCAATTTATCTACCAAAGTCACTAGAATACCCTTTTGCAATTTTGAAAAAGAAGTACATTGTATAGAAGGAAATTAATTATTCTTTCTCAGTTTCAGCAAGAAGTATATTTATTATATGTTCAACAGAGTTGTATTTGCTTTATACAAATGAGAAATAGTTGAGAGGCTTCATTATATTCGGGGAACATTTTCATCAATCAGAGATTTAGCAGCCACCAAAAAGAATTCCATAATTAATCTTTTATATCACGAGTGTGACTTATAATCTCTACACCAAAAGTATTAAATATGACGGAAACCTGTTCATAAACCTTAATATTCCTCAGCAAAGAAACACTGCTTTGTGTTTTTGAAGATATGAAGAATTTAAATGAAACTTACATGCTTGAAATTAGTGCCAGATGCAATACAATTCCAGCACAATTCACTAGAAGCATGGTATATTTCACTATGATTTACTAAAAAGTATTCAACAATTCTATGTTTCACTGAGATCTCAAGAATACAAGTATTTCATTCACAAAACACATGGCTTGGCAGGTTTCCAGAGTGGAAATTTTCTAGAAGGGAAGATAAATTTATTGATTAAGATAAATCAAATAACTGACATTTTTCCTTAGAAAACTTGCAAAACATAAAATGCAGAAGCTGACATTTCACAGTTTGAAGCAGAACAAAACTCTGAGATATGACTTATGTTTATTATCAGACTTCATTGGTGTCATAAATAGATATTTAAGAGTTTCAACATTAACATTGGAAAACATATATGTATTTACATACATATATAAATGTGTATATGCTAATGATTTTAAATCTTTGACTTTTTTTCATTTCTACCCAAGGTACAGTTATAGGAAGTAAATAATGAGCATTTGTGTTGGAATATGCACATAGAAATAATTCAGATACTAAACTATGTGTCACTTTTTCTACCCTATGCTATGGCTTTTCTCCTTGTCCTCTCACCATTCTGGGCACACTTCTGTCTTTAGCAGTTGTTGTGGGCTTTCCCCAAATTCATATTGAAGCCTTAAACCACAACACAGCTATATCTGGAGATGGGGCCTCTAATGAAGTAAGTTAAGTACAATCAGATCAAAAGAGTGGGTCCCTGACCTGGAACCATTAATGTCCTTATGAGGACTCCAGAGAGCTCTCCTAAACTGTGTTCCAAACAGGTCACGTGAGCTCACAGAGATAGTAGCTGCCTATAAGCCAAGAGACCATGCTAGCAGACTTTACGGTATCCAGAGTGCGAGAAATGCAGTGATGATTTAAGCTCCTCTGTCTATAGTATTTTGTTATGGCAACTCACAGCAGACTAACACGACAATTAAGTCACTCAATACCGACAATTGCAAAGCCAGTTTCATATACTTTCTTTATATTTTAAGGATTTGAGCAGAAGGAAATCCCGTTTAAAAGCCGGACAGTCTTGTTATTGGAGAGTTTCATATGAATCCTTGAATTGTTCAGCTTTGTTTTTCTCTAAATCAGGGAATGCTTGAGAGGGGAACCTCAGCCATGCAAACTTATCAAATTAGGATATATCACTACTACACAAACTTGGCCTATCTTTCATAAGATATTAGAGGTTGTATGGGTATACTAGGTGTTTAAGTAGTAGGATTAACTTTCTAATAATGTTAAATCCATTCATATTATTAAGTACAAACAAAAATTTTGTATGTCAGAATATTTTTTTTAGTCTAGATTTTTCTGTAGCTTTGGTGCCTGTCCTGGAACTAGCTTTTGTAGACCAGGCTGGCCTAGTGCTCACAGAGATTCTCCTGCCTCTGCCTCCTGAGTACTGAGATTAAAAGCATGCACCACCACCACCCAGTCATCAGAATATTTTTAAAAAGTATTTGTTGATAAAGTTAGTAAGTGAAAATTATTTTAGGTTAAGCAATGTGTACATTGTTTGACCTACAACTGACTCTTTTCTTTGAATAACTAAATACCTTATATGGCAACCTAACTTAATAGTGCATTAGTTTTCTTATAACATATTGCTGAGTCTTAGTCAAACCATAGTAGCTGGCTTTTAGCCAGTCAATGTGACTGTTGATCAGACCATGTTTATATAAGGTAAAGGCCCAGATATGACCAACCACACTATTATATCATCTCTTTTCATATATATGTGTGTGTGTGTGTGTGTGTGTGTGTGTGTGTGTGTGTGTGTGTGTGTTTTGAGACAGGGTTTCTCTGTGTGGCTTTGGAGCCTGTCATGGAACATGCTCTAAAGACCAGACTGGCCTCGAATTCACAGAGATCAGCCTGCCTCTTGAGTGCTGTAATTAAAGGCGTGAGCCACCACTTCCCTACTTCTTTTCATTTTCTTAATCTGCAAAGATTGCTTATTCAATGGTGGAACTCTCTGAACTTTGACTGGATCATAGCTCTACTCCAGTCACGAAAATAGCTGTTTGTTCAAATAAATTCTTATTAAAGGCTTTGTATTTTGTGTGTGCATGGGCCCACAAGCGGGTTCCAGTGTTCTTGTAGAGTTCAGAAGACAACTCCCAAGCATAGTTCCTCAGTTCACCTGTCTTTTGTGCTCACTGGCCTGGAGCTGGCTGAGTAGGCTTGTCTGATTGACTAAGGAACCCCAAGAACCTGCCTGTCTGCCTCCTCAGTGCTGGGATTACACGTTTAGGCCACTACCTCCGGGTTTTAAAATATGGATTCTGGGGATGGAATGAACTCAGGTCCTCCTGCTTGCTAGGCAAGTTTTTCACTGACTGAGCTATCTCTCTAGCCCTGTATTTTCTCAAATAACCACCACAAGAAAATAGGAACATATACTTAATCTGATTACAGAACATTACTTCAGAAAACGGAAGCATTTCTAAATCGGTCTTAAACTAATGTCTGTCTCCATGCCTGGTTTTATTGTCTTCACACGGTGATATTTTCTGATCTTTTCATCATTTATATGCCTCCAAGCCCATCATCAGGACCCATACACTCTAACAACTCAGTAAACAAACTTCAGACCAGGGATGCTGAAGCTAGATTCAGGCAACCAGATGGTGTGTGCCTGGAGAACAGGAATCGGATTGAGGATTACAGGAGGCCTGGAACACAGAGAACACTATACTATACACAGAAAACAAAGGGGGCGGACGAGGAAGCGAAGGAAAGAAAAGGGATTGATTATAGCAAACCCTGGAGACACCATCTACCACAATTTTTGATTGAACTCAAGAAAGCGTCGAGGTCAGCACTTTTCTCAGCAAGATTCACCAGCACAGGTGGAGTGAGGAAAGAACAAAACTTTTCCAAAAACAAAACCAAAAACCGAAACTAAACTCTGATGGGTCAAAGGAGAAAGACAGTGAGGAAAGAGAGGGGAAAAAAAACAAACAAAAACACAGTCTCCTCCTGGCAGACGAGCCTAGGCAAGCCCGGCTGTTGCCTAGGCGACCGCAGAGCCAGAATGGCCGTAGCCTATTGGCTGAGCCGCTTCAGCCAATGAGAAGGCACGATGTTGCCGGGGTTCTAAGATGGCTGCTGAGCCCCTGCTTCACTGCCGGTAAGTTAGGCTTCGCGCGGCTCGAGTAGGCGGCCGGCTTCGTGGCGGGCGAGCCTGTCGGGCTTGGGTTCGGGGCAGGGAAGGCCGCGGAGGAGTCTGAGCAGCCTGGCCTTGCAGCTCCTCGGCGGGGACACCGGAGCGGGCTGGGAGAACTCGGCTCCGCCGGACGCCGCTCGGCCCCGAGTGGGCTCGTGAGGTGGCGAGAGGGGGTTCTTGTCCCATCCCAGGCCGAGCGAGGAGGAGCAGGCTCGTGGGTGCGTTCGGCTGCGTCGGGGAGAGCGGCTTCTGCTGATGAGTGTGGCGAACTCCTCGATGCCCGGGTCGGCGCCCCGGCGGGCATTCTGACGCCGCTCGACATCCCAAGGTGGCGCGACCCTCAGTGCCACCAGAACCGCAGAGTTTCAGGTTGTCAGCGGGGAAAGCTGCACTGTTTTAGAGCCACCTTGGTGCGGTCTTGAACTTCGTAAGTATTTGCACGGTGGCGAGCATTTCATACAAGGTAGAGAGGCTCGTCTCGGGTAGGCGCGGGGGGGGGGTAGTTTCCGTGTCTTGTCTGTAAACAAACATTGTCTTCATTCAAACTCACCCACTCCTGAAAAGAGAGTACAACAACAAAAAGAAATACCGCTAAGTAAATAGTTTATGTGAAATAAATCCGAACTCAGGCCCGCGTGTTTTCTTTCTGTGCTGTTTTGAGAAAAAAGAGCACATTTTCTAGCAATAAATAAGACCTTTACATTAATGTTGATCTTTTAAGCCCAAAAGTACGTTAGTTAACTAATTCCAAAGTTCATGAATTAATTAAGTACTTTATTATGATCTTACAGGTTAGACTATGGTGATTATAATTATTTTACAAATAAGATTAAATTTAGATGTCCGTGATTATTTAAAATTGAAGACACAGTTTGTCATAAAATATGGTCATTTGATGAAAATGCTGTCTAAGTCCTGGCATATTAGAGACAGGAAATGCTTATCCATTGAGATGTTCAGATTTTTATATTTTGGGTATTGCTTGTAAGTAGTTGGGTGGTCTAGAAAATACATTTCTGGGATTTCTATATGTGACTCTCTGTATGTTACTTGCTTTAATATCTTGCCTGGTTTTTCATACGTAAAAAGTGCAGAAAAAAATTATTAGTAAATTTTAGCAGTCTTATAATTACAGCCTAGAGCCATTGTTTTGGCCCATCTCCCAAATCTTTGTCCCAAGAATACTTTTGCCCTCTAAAAGTTCATAATTGACTCCACTTTTGTAAAATAAGTGGATCTCAGTGATTTAGGGCAGATGTTAAAAGGGTTGGTGTTAATTTCTAATGAGTGTCGTGATGAGGATTAATGCCTGCCTCTTGGTTTGTGTGCCATGTGGGACATGGCATGCTTTGTTTTTTTCCCTACTGCTTTGTGTCTTTTGTTGTAACTGGGTGTCTGGTCCCTTTTCAGTGGCCTGGGTGCACAGCCTCTAAAAGCTGGTAACCTTGAGTTGAGGAGAGAAACTGCATTTACTGACTACATACATGTCATGATGTAAACTAGATTCACATCAAAGAGCGAGGCTGTTCTGGGCATCTGGGACACTCACAGTATTAAGACGATAAACATTTCAAAGGTGTGAGACATCTCCGTGGTAACTGATGACACTCTCATTTTAAAGCTTAGTTAGGATGGAGACCCAGGCTGGAAGTCATCTGAGTTCCAAGCCTATTCTTGCTCTTGTAACTAGTGTTCTCCAGGTCTAACACAAGCTTGAACTTTTGTTATTGAGATTTGGTATCGCTATGGTTTCTGTATTTTGAGAGATGATATTTACTAAACCTTTTTTTCATATTTTATAAAAATGAGGTTGTATAGTCAACTTCTCTGGTTAACAATTGAAGGATAACGCTTCACTGGATTTAAGTCTTCTTACCTAGTGGTAGATGATACCGTGCTACCAGGAGGAAAATAAATAATTTTGATTTTAAAAAAATACTGATAATTAGCTTAGTGAGTTCCAGTGCATTCGTTATAAAACTTTGTAAAAAAAAAAAAAAAGGAAGAAAGAAAGAAAGAAAGAAAGAAAAAGAAACAAACCCACAGATTACCAGCCACCAAACCACTTTGTTTTAAGTGCATTGTTTTCTGCCAATGTGTGCTCAATATGGCTATGGTTGTTTATTGAGGGTGAAAGAAAGCCCCTTTTATTTAGACTTAGAACAGTGCAGAAATTCATTCAGGTCATAGTAAATGATGTTTGCCCAAAACTAAAAGATGTGTCTCATGTTGTACACAAAATTGTTTGTAGGATGGAATAAATCATAACCGCAGTGGTGATGAGTATATGGAATGAAGGTGATGTTTGAAACTTTAGAGAAAAGGGGAATTATGGCTCTTTGACATCTTCCTTGGTACTATCATGACTAGATTAAATATTATTGAGTTACAGGCTAAAAATTGAAAGCTTACAAATTAATTCATTGGCTGTGCTATGGGCCTGGCTATAATCTACATAAAAGAATTTACTTTCTTTCTGTTTGTCTGTTATTTCACATGTTTTGAGATTAGACGAGTGAATTTTCTCAGAGACTAATTTAGGATTTTCTCCCTTAAAATAAAGATATACACCCTGAAAAGAATGAAAGAGACAGTTCATAGAAATAAAGAATCTCCCCTCAAAGAAGCCCAGCAGGAGTAGCAGGAGGCCAGGGAACCATATGAGTGACACACATTGATGGAAGTAGCCTCTCCATATTGGCTGCTGTACATTGAGCTGCTGCTTAATGGACGGCTCCATTTTGCAGACTCTACCAGCAGTTACCTGAGTTTATCAGCAGAAACCTGAATCTCCCTTACATCTGTTTATGTTTTCTTTTTGTTTTGTGCCACCTCCCAATATCACAGGTAACTGATGTGTGGCTTAAGATTTTAAAGTAGTAAATTTTAAAAAAATGTACTTTATTTGAAATTTTTGTTTTGGATTTGGAGGTTCTTTGAACTTTTCTTTCTTCAGGTACATTTAGCAAACTATCGAGCTAGGAAAATACCATATTGAGGACAATTTTGGAAGCCATATCAGGCGTAGATAAAGTAATTTTGAAAAATGGTCAAAAGGCCATGAAAACTGGATAGCTGTCTGAAACCCTACAAGGAAATGCATAACTTTTGTAGGGTAACTGAGACTGCTCTCTGTGTGGAAGCACATATGAATGCCCAGCATGTAGATTGGGAAACTCCAGACACACTAAAACAGACCTCTCCTTGTAGGGGGCACATGCTGTCTATGTCCAGACTGAGTGACATTTCCTTGCCATGGTGTTAGCCTCGCTCTGTGAGGCTATAGATTTTATCCTCTTTTGTGTACTTTTGTTCCCAAACTCTTAGAGAATATCTAGCATGCAGTAGAAAATGCCATGGGCGTACTTTCTACAGTAAGCCCCCAAGCATGCTTTAAAAAATGTCTGAAATTTGTTACAGTTTCAGTATCCTCTTACAGATAATGAACCTAAAGATGTTTTGGAGGCTGTTACTACTCCACTCTCCCTAGTGGCATATTTTACCGAATATATCAGGAATCCCTTTATTTCATCTTTTAAAATCTACACACCAAGTTCAGGAGTAGATGCAGGTTTATAAGGCTGAACATGTATAACTTGGGGTCTTTACTTGGAGTTGAATGTAAATTCTGGATAGAAAATTATACACATGGTTAGAGAAGACCTTTATCAGTAAATCACATTCATATTTGAGTTCCATTAATGGCCTGGTAATCTGCCTCTTGTTTTATTGCCCTATTTAGAAGCCAAATGCCAGGTTTATTTTTAGAAGCTTCATGTCAGGCTGTGGAGATCAGGGAGGAACATGATTTATATCAGTTGATAAATGAAGCACCACAAATATCAGAAAATTCAGAGCTGTCTTACAAGTTCTTCTATCTATATTAGGAGTGATAAAAATGTATTTCATGGCCACAGAAATAATAGCAAGAACCAATGAACATTTGTATTTTGATGCATAGTTCAAGCTTATTTAAAAAAAAAAGATTATCAGCACCAAACATTCATTTTTGTCCCTAGAACCTTCTGAACTCAACGCTCTTGAGTGTTGTATCTCATTTAATGCTCAGGCTAATCAGTGTAATTATCCTGTGCTATAGGTGAAGAAACTGAGGGTCAGAGTTGTTAAGTGATTTTCTTTTGCTTCTAGTGGAACTGGAATCAGGAGTCTAGTTGGGGTCCTCTTAAAAAGCCAAGAGAATGTTTTAGAAAATCAGGTACTGGTAAACCTGGCCTAAAAAAAAGCACAAACATAACCCTTTTTCTTTAAATCTGAGAGGAGGTCCTTACAAGAAAGCAGAAATATGTAATTGAGATTAATGCAAAGATCCTTGATACCTGTGACCTGAAAAGAATGGGGTTGGTTTTCTTGCTATATTAATTGCAAAATAGGGCAGGACTTTCAGCAAGACAGCTTTCTGTTCTTCTTTTCCTTCTGAGTAATGATGAATCTTGAGAGATGTAACTGTTTTTGGATTCAGTTGTATGAAAACATAGTCTGTAGTATGGAAATCAAATGAAATTTTCATAATCTTGGGAATGATTACACTAATTCTAAAAGTCATTTTCATGAAACTTGATGATTATACCAGTGGGTTATACAGATATTGTTGAATACTGTACTGAGCTTTTGTTTCCCAAGCACATTGTATTATTAGTCAAAGAAGCTGTATGCTTGTTAAGTTTTAGAATTATATTTCATTTGGTTTATTTTAGCAGTGTAAAATTTAAAACTGGGGTATCTTTTCCACCTTCCACACCTTTTACTTACTGGTAATTTTTTACACTTGTTTATTCTGTGTATGGATGTGCTTGCACACACACAGGTGGAGGTTAGAGGACATCTTACAGGAGCTGTTTTTCACCCACCATGTATAGGTGAAACTCAGGTCATCGGGTTTGGTGGCAAATACCTTTACTTTCTGAGCCATCTTGCTGCCCATCTACTGCATCCTTTAAACATATGTATGCAACTTAAAGTTTTTTTTCTTTAATTGATAACTTGATTCTTAGACAGTAAGCCTTTTGAAAGTTAAATGTGCTTCATATAGACGATGCGTCCACCCATTTTGTTCCTTAATGAGTACTATGTGAAGCACGGTATTTTAAGCCTTAAGCTAACTGTGATGTTTCATACGTATATATAATCACAGCACTTAGGAGGCTGAAGCAGGAGGAACTTTGGTAGTTCAAGACCAGCTTGGGCTCCAGAGTAAGGTCCTGTCTCAATAAAAGAACAACAAAACAAAGTAAAATTAAAAAAAATACATTGTTTTAAATTCCTGAAGAGTGTGTTGTTAAGTGTTTGACATTCTTGAGCCGTGTGTGCTTTACTATGTTTCATGTAGGCAGAATAACCCATACTTTAGAGAATCAGTATTCTGCTTTGTCCGATGGTGGATGTTGTAACATACTTAAACTGTTAAATAATTTTAAAACTTTTTTTTCAACTTAACACAACTGATTTTAGCTCTTTTATATGGAGGCTTCATTTCATTTTAGATTTTAAAGTTTAAAGTGACTGTTCCTCAACCATTGGTAGACATACTGGTCTCCTGGGATATCTGTTATGGGCTTTAAAATAGTTTCTGTGGCTACTATTTGAGTTTGAAGTCATTTTTCCCTTTCTCCTTCTAGAAGAAAAGATGTGGAGTGGGCTGTTACCTCCTGGGCTAACTGAAAGCGATGTTGAGTCAGATTCTGAAGATGAAGCCGCACTAGAGAATCCAGAACTTCCAGAATTTAATTTACAGAAAGATGGAAAGACTGACAGCAGTAGGAAGCCAAGAATGTCAGATTTCCCAGCAGGCAAGCCAATGGAAACAGAGGCTGATGCAAATGCATATGAGAAGTGTCCTTCTGGAATTCCCTTGGACATGTGGAATGTAGGTTTCCTTTGCATTGTCAGGAAAGCGCATGCTTCCAGAATTCCCTGAACATGTGGAGTGTAGGCTTCCTCTGTGTTAGGAAAGTGTGCATGTGTCCATGTGTTGTGTGTCAGAGCATGTTGTGAGCAGACAGCAGAGGGGCTCATGATACTTGTTGTTTATTTAGCCGTTTGGATACTCTGATTCTAGTTTTATTTTACATAAGTAGAAGGAAAATGTCGTAGGATTATCTGCTTTACTTTACCTAACATGGTAAATGAATTTATTTCTTTTTTCTTCATTTAATTGTAAATCATTTAGTGTCATTCTCTGTTATCAAACAGCTTGTGTTAAAACCAGTGAATATCCCAATTCACCTGAGTTGTGAGGACTGGAGTATGTATCTCAAGAGCAAAATTCCTTAGTTGGTGACTTTAGAAATGGCAGAACATAAGGGTTTTACTTAACACATTTTTCATTGTTAAAATGTATGCTAATCTCTAGCACACACCCATACTATTTTTTTTCTTTTTACATAGAAATTTCAAGAATTGCATAAAAGACATTCTGAACAGAAAAATTCAACATCAAGATTCAAACAGAAAAAAAGAAAACGCTCCAAAAAAGGTGGTTATTTTTAAATTTAGATTGTTAGTTGTACTAACTCTAAATTGACTAATTGAGATAATTTCTTAAAACATGATTTTGAAATAATAGCTGAATAATTAAGTGTTCTAAATTCATTTTAGGCAAATTGAAGAATGAAAATGAATCTCACAGGTGGGTGGAATTCAGCAGTGTTTTGGAACTTTCTAGATTGCTGTACTACTTACCTTGATAATGATTAAACATGGAAAGTAGTCATTGAAGTGTAATTATTGCAACTAGTTATAAATAGTCAAAGCATAAAGAGTTATAATTCATCTTAATTTATCTTCTTGCAGTGAACAGTCCTCAAGTGAAACACAGTGGAAGGAGCTTACTCAGTATTTTGGAGCCAATGATAGATTTGAACCACCAGTTAAGCAGAAAAAAGTTGAGAAAGTAAGATCCATCTTATTATTTATATATTATTCCATCATATATTAGCTAGCAGGATGCATTTGCAATTAACCTTGCCTAAGATACTAGTTCATTAATTTATATAATTAGAAACAAAATATATTACTGCACTTGAAAAAGATGCTTGATAAACAAGTGGATACCTAGTTTAAAACTCTTCAGAAGAGTAAGTTGTGAAAGGATTATTGTGAGGGCCTCACTCCTTTTGCCTTGGGTGAAGAAAGCTGTTCTTGTAAGAGGCCCTCTCACTGAGACCTGAAGGGTGGTGAAAGGCTGATAACATAAATAATGGTCACTAGGAGACTACAGGTAAAGACCCTAAAGGAGGGGTTAATGTGAGAACTTTTTGGTTTTTGGTGAGAAGGTTAGACTGGTTGGAATGGAGTCAGTGAGGAAGAGTGTAGCTCAAGACTCATGATAATCTTACAGAACTGCCCAAACTGGGTGGCCTTGGAGCAGGTAGGAAATGGACTTTATTTACAGTGCACTTGGCTTTTAAGAGTGACAGGATCTTACTTAAGTTTAAAGATTCCCTGACTGTTGGCATGGAGATTAGATGGTGATGTAGCAAAAGTAATCAGAAAACAGCAGACTAGGCACAGGATAATGGTCCGTTGACTGACAGTGGTGTTGATGAAGATGGAAAAAAATGTGTGAGTGCTTTGATGTTTTAATGTGAAGGTAGAATTGTCATGTTTTTCCTCAAGTGAGTTAGAAAATTGAGAAAAATCAGGAAGAGAAAAGATTGAGAGTAGACCTATTCACAATTCAATTTGGGGCATAAGTGTTAATCAGAAAACAAGAAAGGAGTAAATAATTGCTATAGTATGAGGTGGGGACTCAGAGCAGTGTCTGAGCCTGAGGTATTATTTATAGTTGTTACTCTTTAGAAATTAGAAAAGGCCTTGAAGGAATAACACACATATTCATGGTGAGGGTGGCCAGTGGTGTTGGGAGAGTCTAAGCTAATGAGAATCCTTTGTTCTGAGGTAGGGTTAGAGGCCTATGGGGGCACGTGGGACCTGTGTGTCTTGTGCTTCCTTAAGGAGATACCAGATACCGTTACATGGGTCACTGCTGAGTACTATATTCCTAGAGACCTTTGCTGTTTTCTGATTGGTTGGTATTTCTCATGAAGAACCTCTTATGTTAAATTCTTAATTAGGTGATGATATTTCACTGAGAAGATTGTAAATTAAGGGCCTATCACAACAAATTTTGTATGTGTTGTGTTTGGAGTTTTGTTCTGTTTGAGATGAGAGGTCTGGTTATGTTGCCCAGGCTAGTATTGAACTCCTGATCACAATCATGTGATCCTATTGATTCAGTCTGTGTCTGGGATTATAGTCACAGCATCCTTCAAGTGGCTTTTTCTCTCCAGTTTTGCAAAGAATTAATTCCAAAATAGTCCCTATTATACCACATACCTGGCCCTGGGTTCATTTTCTGCACCTACTACTGGGCGGTAACCTTTAAGCAGATACAGAAATAATGCATTTCCCACAAAGCCCAGTGGTAGAGTAAAATCTGAGACATAAGACATTGCTTTGATGCTTCTGGGGGTTCACTGTGATAGGTAGTGCATTTCTGGACATGTTTTTGTCTTGATCTTGACTCTTGGTTCATTTGTGCAGGGAGCAGTCGTGTGACTTTGATTTAAGCTGCTCTTGACTGCCAAACCTGCCCTTCAGCAGGGGGGAAGATCTTGTTAAATGCCCTGAGACATGGGGCATCTCTGGTAGACCTGCTGAGCGGTTCTTAACCTGAGAGTCGAATGACCCTTTCATAGGTTTTGCCTAGAACCGTCAGAAAACACAGATAGTTTACATTATAATTCATAACAGTAGCAAATTTTCAATTATGAAGTGGCAATGAAAGTAATTTTATGGTTGGGGGTCACCACAACATGAAGAACTGTATTAAAGAGTTGTAGCATAAGGAAGATTGAGAACCACTGGACTAGATCCTTCAGTGCATGAATGATTGTTAGTTTAATTCTTTTTAAACATACGAATTAAATGGCCTTTGATTTTTCAGTTATGTGCAATATTTACTGTCTTTCATATTGGTATTGACTTCAGAGTATCTAATTGATAAGAGACAGTAAAGTCATGAAATGAAATTTGAAAACATTCTAAAAAGCAGAGATTGAGAGAATATATTTTTTTACAACTTACTAGAATCCTATTGTTACCCTATTGTTTGAAGTTGTACAGTCTAAATTTTGGCTAGATACTTCTAGCTCTTAAGAAGTTACAAGGGTTGTTCATAGTATCATTTGAAGAACTCCATCTTGAGACCTAGCACCTTGTCTCACCATGCATTTCATGCATCCTAGAGAAACCAGAACAGAAACCAGAACAGCAGTTAAAAGTGTGAACTCTATTTAAGAGGAATTGCTGTGAGCCTGACTAGTCAAAGGTGCATTCATTTGGAAAGTTTGGGCTTTTTTCCTGCAGATATTGCCCTGCATGAATGGTGAGGAAAGTTATGGGTCTTCCAATCAAGGAAACTGTTGTTGGCCAGACTTCTATTTTGCCAGCACTTATTAGTCTACAAGTAAATGCAAGCATGAAAGGAGAGAAAGGGTTTAGGAAAGCTGAGTTATTTCAGCTTCTCTTGGGAGGTGAGTATGATCGCACGCAGGCAGTTCTGCACCCACTTTCTCGGGTGGGGTCACGGTTTTTACATGATGCTCCTTTTGCTGTCCTGCCGAGATCGTACTGTGAGTCCAGCAAAGCAAATAAACTTTAAAAAGGCAAAAGCAAAATGGCCACATTGGAGACACTGGTAAAAGCTATGAATAACTGTAAGTCCAGCAGATAGTTAGGGATCTGGTAGCAGTATGTAGACACGTGGTGCAGTGTAAACAAATATGGATTTCCAGTCTAGCATTTTATTCTCTGGAGCAGAGGCTGATCTGTCCCAATATCAGAAAGTCTTTTTATTTGGTTTTCGCTCAACCCTCAAGAACAGTAAAGCAAAACAAAACTTCTTAATCTTATGTCTATCACACCCCCTCCCTTTGGAGTCCTGCCAAACAAAAATCTTAGCCCAGAATGTGTATTACAACACTGCTGTCACCTGCCTGCCAGACAGTGCAGAGAGGCTTGTATTTTTATTTTTAAATATAGTCTTCCTAATTAATGTTCAACACTGTTTTAAGTTGCTCATTGTATTAAATGCAGATATCATTGTGTTTCTGGCAGCAGTTAATGGGGCTTGTTAGTAACTCTGTAATCATAACATAATTATTTTTAATCTATGGGAATTTCTTCATAATAAATTTTTCCCTTTAATTTCACTATAAATATCTCAAGTATTCTGTAGTTGACTCAGTTTTATTGAAGTAGTAGTCCTGGGTATGTCAAATGGACACTTTTGGTATGAAAACTACAGGTACTTTTATTATTTTTTAGAATCACTGTCCTTGATGTTTGTATAAAGTTGTTCAACTGCTGTTGCATAGAATATCTTTTTCACACTTGTTCTTTTTTGTGATAGAGTACTTTTTCCATCTAGACTATGTGGAACTCTAGTATATAGATCACATCAAAGCCAGTGCCTTGAGTGTGTTGGGAGGGTGGTACAGAGGGGAGAAACCATCAATCATGGTGATCTCTGTAGGGAGGGCCAGTGTTAGTCTCCTGATGTATTTGCATTAAAAAACAAACAACAGATAAGTTTAAAGTGAGGCTTTAAGCTCAAGTCATTTGGTTGTCATTCTGAATTTTTCTAAATTAATAGTTTTTAATTTCTCTAAATTTTGTATGATTTATGTATAATATTTAACTTATGTTTGTAGTTAAATGTTGTTCCCTCCTCTCCTTTATGGAGAAGTTACCTCGTTTTACTCCTAGATATTTAAATTATACCATAATTAAGCAAACTCCCATAGCTATTTTATTTTCCTTTAAAGATTGAATATATTATCCAAATAAACATTTAGCATTGAGATTTGTGGAGAAATATATTGTGATGCTGTTGGCCCATGGAGTCCACACCTCTTTGTTGTGCCGTCTTGACACCTGTAGGACAGCTTTGTTGATTAGAGGTCAATTGTTGTCTTATGGGAACCTGTTACATAGGTGCCCTTAGGTAAAATTTCCGCTTGTGGGTAAATTGCCATTCCTATGCATACCTGTTCTCTGAGATATATTTTATGATTAATTCTCACTTAAGTAAAAAGTGTGAAGAGTATACCAAGGCACTGTTACTATCAATATGAGCCTTCAGCTCCTGTTGGTCTTCTGGTGTGGAAGATCCTGTGTAAATCAGAAGCTACTTTAGGACCTGTCTGAAAAATCTTAAAAAGCTTGGATACTTAAATCTTGTTTGATGAGACAATTTACTGACCCAGAGTCAAATTTTTGATACTTGTATCTAAGCCCCCAAAGAAGTGTGGTGAGGTGTGTAACCTCTCCTGGAAGTCACCTGATGTTAGAGATAGAAGAACCAATAACACCACTGGGTGGTTACTGTAATCTAAATATTAGCTAAATAGTTCACATGTATTTTCTTGACCCTCATCATCACTTTGTAGTGAACATGGCTTTACATTTACTTGACCTTAATGAGAGAACTTCTGCCATAGAAGTTTAGAGACCCTCCCCAGATTGCTCAATTCTTGGGTGGAAGTTCTAGTTCATTTCACTTTTTCAGTAGAGCTTTTGGCAGAATGATATCTTCTTATGTTGTTAAGCGTGTTTATAATACAAGAATTTTGAATGTCTCTAAATACAAAATAGAATAGAAATAAAATATTTTCAGTGCTAGGCATCTTACATAGATTATGCCTGTAAACTCAGTACTCTGGAGGTTGAGGCCTGAGAAGTACCATAAGCTCCCAGCCAGCCTGGGGGTACAGCGTGAGACCCTGTCTCAATGAAATTGAGAAGAAGAGAAAGACAAAAGCATTTTATGAAAGAAGAAAGCAAACTCACTGTGTAGACCAGGCTGGCCTTGAACTCACAGAGCTCTGCCTGCCTCTGCTACCCTTTGCTGGGATTAAAGGCATGTGCCACCATGACCTTCAAGGACCCTGAACTTCTGATCCTCCCGTTTTCATCTCCCAAATGCTGGGATTACAAGTGTGTGCCATCACTACTCCAGATTTAGTGCAGTGCTAGGGATTAAACCCAGGGTTTCCTGTATTTTAGGCAATACTACTAAGGGATGCTCCCATTCTGATTTAATTTTAGAGAGAAACTTAACCTTATGTTTAAGCTCAGCAGTTCATAGGAGTTTCTGGGATAGGAGAGTTTTCCCTTCTCTTTGTGATATTCAGTGCTGAGCTGTAGCTCTTTGTACCAGAGGGACATTAACAAGTTGATTCAGTAGAATGCTTCAATAGGTGGAGGTAATTTGGGTCTAAGAATCTTTGGGTTACTCTGGACACTGTATACAGGAAGGCAGCACCCAGCCTTTACAATCTCAAGAGCCTAGGTAATTGAAAGGAGCACAGCTGCTTTGTGTAACCTACATGTCTGAAGAGAGGATTAGTGGACAGGTTTCTAAGGTGAAAGAGTGGAGCTTGTCTAGGTGATTGTATGGGTAAATACTGAATTGAGGTATCTGGCTACCTCAGTCCTTGTGATATAAGAAAATTGAATTTGATATTAATGTTTACTTCATCTGCCTCAGAGGCATTTTGAGGAAATCTCTTGTTCTGCAAAGGGAGTATAGACTATTGTTTTAGCATTTTGTAAATAAATAGCCTCATTTCCATTATAGATTAAATATGAAGTTCTAAATGGAGAATATAAACTTCTAATTGTACTACACTCTGGGAGCTCAAGATAAAGATACCCTTGAGCCCCGAAGAAATACAGAAACCAGAAGTATCAAATCCTCTGGAACTGGAATTCCAGATGGTTGTGAGGCACCCGATGCTGGTGCTGGGGTCTGAGCTCGGATCCACTAGAACGGCAGCAGTGTTCCTATCTCTGAGCCATTGGTCTCTAGCTCCAAGAAATACATTTTTATTTGTTGGACATAAATTTGTATAAATAAGCATGACAATATGTTACCCCTTTTAGACTGAAAAGGTATTATTTCTACAGTGTTACTCTTATGGAATTCTTACCTGGGGCTACCAGTGTGGTTGAGTTACTTCAGTATTAATGCAGACGTGGTTTATTGTATTGCGACGTTCAGTGCAGTAGGATAGACTGAGTGAGTGCCTCCTGTGTGCAAGGAACTGGGTGGGATTTTGGAATACTAAAAAGATGGGAAAGGTTGTTTGTTTGTTTGTTTGTTTGTTTTTAAAGGGAAGTGTGTCAGAAGCAGTAGGAACATTAAGAAGATGGCACTTGTGGCCAGAGATTATGAATTATAGCAATGCCATAGATGAGGCTAAGAGTTATGTAGATAAACCTGGTAGCCAGGTAGTTTTATCTGCATTCTGGCAAATGATCCTTAGCTTAGCTTTTCATGAACCCAAATAATAGACTTTTGATAAGTGTATGGTGAGTCCTACTTATTATTATTATTAGATATTATTAGACATTATTCTAAATGTCTCATGACATTTAGAATTTTGATTTCTTGAAGTATTTTTATAAATTAAAACATTTGCATAGTAGATTTGCACATTGGCAGGTCAGAGCTGGTATGTAGATCTCAGCTGGAGTGGCACAGGCACAGAGTTAGGCTCCCTAAAAATGAAAATGGGTTGGGAATCAGGTTGTTTGCACCAGCCTGAGAACAAGTTCTGCAGACGGACAAGGCAGGGAAGTTTCTGGAAATCATACAAGAGTAGAAAATGGCATTAGAATCATACGGCCTATGGTGAGAGATAACGTAGGGTAGTTAGTTGAATGAGGGTCTTCAGCTGCTATGGAAAGCAGGTTGACTACCCCGGTCCTCAGATGGGATTGTGATACAGGAGTCTCTTTATGTCAGACATCCAGGGAGGTGCTCCGTGGCCTCTGCTTCCAGTTTGTTGTTTTTTGGTGAATTATGTTGTAGTTTATAAAGTCTTCATTTCAACATCAGTACAGGAACAAAATCCCTCTGTTGACTGCTGTGATCTGGTGGTGGATGAGATTTTCTTAACACTTTTGTTGTTATATAAGGAGGAGGAAGTTTGTATGAGGTCCAAGATTCACTGCGTTGAAATGAAGGGATAGGAGGCAGTTGTTAGAATAAAATTGTCTTTCAAGAAGTACATTCTAGACCACTTAAATGTTTTATGTTCTGAAGTAATATTTCACAACCAGACCTTGTTTATATCAGGGTGTCTTTTGATAAACCTTACCTAGTTTGGTGATTCCATGACCTTTAAATTTTTGATTTCTTGAAGCAGTTTTAGTGGGAAGATAATAAAATAATTGTTATTTCTTGCTTTCTTCTCTGTGTAGTTGGCATAATAGTCCTATTTGCAGATGGCGAGAAACTTGGGAGTGAGAGTGTTGAGATGTGGGAATGGGCTGTAGATGAGAACTCAGACTTGTGCAAGCTGAGTGTGGGATGACTTTACAACTCACAGACGGATGTCAGCCAAGTTGAGCAATTTATGACTGTTTCTACCTCTCACAAACAAGCTAGCATTGAATGGAGCTGTTATAAGGATGCAAATGACAGCTTTAGTAGTATAAGCCCCCAGGTTCTACCATGTGGTAAGAGCTTTATAATTTTAAACCATTGCTGTAATTAGCTTTGCTGTTATTAGGGAATAGCAGTCTTTTGTTCTACACCCCCCATCTGAATTTGCATCTTCTTTTTATTGTTACCTTGAGAAATTAGGGACCTTGACTAGTCACTGAATGTTTCAGAAATGTTTTATCGATCAATTGAAATTGATGCAAGCCTTTATAGGGTTATTGAGAGGACTGAATGGATGTTGCACACTGTGACATAGTCTTAGTTAGCAAATGATTGACTTTCTTTCCTGCCCATAATTTATTTTGTTTTTTTCTTTCTTTCTAGTCAGGCCTTGAAAAGAGGATAGACCAGGCTGTGGAGGAATGGGATGTTGAGAAGGCTGAAGAGCTCAGCAACCAGCTAGCTACTCGAGAGGTAAGTCAGACTGACTCTGATTTTCTTCCTGCCCTTCTTTTTTTCTCCCTTCCTACTGTTTGTTTTGAAATGATAGGTTTTGTGCTGACGTTAATGCTTTAAATTTATTCTGGTCTAAAATGTAGACTGGAAATTATGCATAATTGATAATTTTTTGTTTTGTTTTGTTCCAATACAGGGATTCTCTGTAGCGTAATTGATATTTGACCCTAGTTTTACCTGGCTTCAGCAGGGTTTTTGTTTGTTTGTTTGTTTGTTTGCTTTGTTTTGTTTTTTGCTTTATTTTGTTTGAGCTTGGTGTTGTTTTCAGGTGTGCTTAGAAGAGCACCTTCATTTTCCTTTTGTGTCTAGCTCAGTTGATCCTCACTGAGGACAACTGTGCTCTGCAATCACACCCTGCAGCCTTTTCTTAGTCTTTAAAAATAATTGGTCACATTAAATATTCTGTGTATAACGTTTATACATGTGTTATTGGCTAATATAAAAGAAATTTCAGAGTCATGGATATTAAGGGTATTAGGTAGAAATAGCAAAAATGACAATTATATAGCTTTGAAAAAAAAAACAAAAAATAAGTTGACATTTTAATCTGGATGTGGTGGTTCTTGCTTGTAATGCAAGCATTGGGAAGCTGAGGCAAAAAGATTACTCTGATTTCAAGGCCAGCGTAGGTTACAGTGTGAGACCCTATTTCAAACAAAACAGACTCTGACATTTTATAAATTGTTCTATTGTAAAGTATAGTAGAATTTATGCTCGTAGATGCTTTGAGTGTGTAAATGAGTTACATCAAAGACACTTAAAGTGCTGTGCAGTCTTGCACTACCCATCTGCAGATTTTTTTGCAAAACTGAAACTCTGCAACTTAAACCATTACTCTGCAATTTCCTCTTCACCCTGCTTTGACAGCATGCTGCTTTGCCTCTGCACTCAGTTGCTATAGCTGCTTTATGTAAGCCATATGCTTATGCTTATGGCTTAAGTTCTTTAGTGATCACTGTGTTATAGTGTATGTCAGAATTTTCTTCCATTTCACACTGATTGATACTCTTTCTCATTTGGGGTACTCATGCCATTGTCTGTACATTGAATTGCTGGGGTAGACAGTGCTCCCACAGTTTGACTGTTGTGAACCATGCTGCTGTAAATATGAGTGTACTAGCATCTGTGTGAATCCTTGTTTGAACTTCCTTTATATATATCCAGAAATAGAATTGCTACATTATTTAAGAAAAAAATAAATGCATGTCAGGCATTTGATATGATTTTAATTTGTGAGGGTTCTATGACTCAACATAACCATCAAAGCTTTAATACGGTTACCTTGTAGTTGAGCTATGAAATACACTTGTTTGCTTTTTCTTTAAAAGGTATTCTGCTCTTCCCATCTTCTAATACTCCTTATGCTTACAGTTTGATAATTTTTTTTATAAAAGAGTGCCGTATTTTGATTAAATGTAGCGCTTGTTAGATATAATAGTATTTCATTACAATTTCGAAGGGGAAAGATAAAGTTCATTTAATAAAATGAACTCGAAGATATGTTAAATTGTGCCCCAAGTTCAGTCGGATTTCCTGTTACCTGTTGGTTATCTGTGGCTTCTTCAGTGTGAGTAACATCCCTGTATGTCAATCTGTGCTACCAATTAGTGACTGTCATCTTCAGGTTTTGACAGGGTGGCCATAGAAACAGGGAATGGTGGAGGAGAACTGCTTGTGGGCTTGGACGGGACCTCAGGGGTTAGATGTCTGTCCCAACTCTAAGGATTTAGGTAGAGGAGGACGTCAGGATGGGACTAGGGAAGAGTAGGATCTAGGGACACTTTCGGGAACTGAAAAACACATAGGGCAGTAGTAGCCAATCAGTGGGTTGAACTCTTCTCAGGTTGTGGGAGTAGAAGCTCGTGGCAGCTTAGTGTGGATCAGGAATGAAACCTTTGAGGGAGCTGGTGCTTAACTGTATCTCTACTGAGGAAGTAGTTCACCCTGTGCTACTTGTTGACGAGGTGCCTTTTGAATGGTTTGAAAGGTTTCAGGGCTGTTTTGTATTGGTTTGAATGCTGGTCTGGGTTTGGTGGAGAGTAGTAGTAAAGCCCAAGATCCAACTTAAGAAAAGCCAGCAGGACTATAGTGTGCAGTCGGTCGCTTGCTGATTTTTAGAAATGCTGTGTCTGTCTTTTTTGCACTCTACAGGATTAAGGACTCAAACTGGTACTCTTGCCTTTTTCATCCATTCTTCTTTTGGAGGACCCGGGCATTGTGTCTGTGTCCTCTTCCAACTGCAAAGGCTGCCTCAGCAGACCCCTTCCATCAGTCAGTTGTCTCTGACTTTTTGCCTTGCTGAGAAAGAAAAGATGAGGCAGAGCATAGTTTATTAGTTCTTCTGCCTGATACCAGGGAAATTTACAGAGAAACATTTGTTTCATTGCAAGTTCTGAGTTCTTTTTAGCAGGGTTAATTATTTCACTTGCTATTAAGGAAGTTGTGCAATCTGAGGCCAGGAGGATGACTTGAGAGTCGTTGCACAAGTGTAGCAGCCAGAGCTTGGTCATAGGAATCCATGTAAAGGTGGGAGGAGAGAACTAACTTTACAAATTTGTCTTCTGATCTTCACATACAGTGAATGCCCTCATACCTACACCATATGCACATATAAAGAAGTTAATAAAAAATAAATGGTGCCTACAAGTTGGCTCAGTTGGGAACCTGAATTGTTTGATCCCTGGCACCAGTGTGGTAGAAGGGGAGAAATGATGTGGGTATACACATACAATCATAAAGAAAATTAAATTTTTTAAAAAGAAAGTTGTAAAATTTGTAAAATGTTTTTCTTTAATCCATACACTTTATTTAAATTTGCATTTATACCATTAGTTTCCATACTAGCAAAGGTATTTCCTGTTCTCTAACCCTGCTTTCTGTTGCAATGTTCCTTTGATCTAAAATAGCTGCTCTGTCCCTATTTTCCAAGACCTTGTTTTTGAGGAGAAGCCAGTTAGTACACACCCCTCAATTGTGTTTTGCCTAGTATTTCCTCATGGTGAGTCACAGCAGTGACACGGGACCTTCTTAGGCTCTCCAGAGACACATGCTCTCTCTTTGTGCCACTTTTTAATGGTTTTACTTTGATGAGGGTGATATCACTTAGTTTCTCCACTGTCTCCCTCTGTAATGAGTAAATACTTTATGGAGATTATAGTTTATGGCTGCACATGTTCTCTTGTTATTCTTTTGTCTATTTTGGCATCTATTGCTGGTTCTTTTCTTGCCAAAGTACTTTAGATCTTTAAAACAACGTTTGACTTTACATTTAGAAAGATTTTTTTGTATTTTATTATTATTATTATCTGTAAGCAGAGACTGCTCGTTCGTTTTCCAGCTGTATAATCAATCACACAGAAATTATATTAATATCAACATTTTTTGGCCAATGGCTCAAGCGTATTTCTAGCTAGCTCTTATATCTTAAATTAACCCAATTCTATTGGACAGCTTTATTTTCTGTCCAATAAAGGCAACACATATACAGAAGGATATCCCACATCGATTTTTTTTTTTCCCCGCGACAGGGTTTCTCTGTACAGTCTTGGCTGTCCTGGAACTAGCTCTTGTAGACCAGGCTGGCCTCGAACTCACAGAGATCCGCCTATCTCTGCCTCCCAAGTGCTGGGATTAAAGGCATGAGCCATCACTGCCTGGCTTAAGATTTGTTTTATTTTTAATTGCATATGTGTGTGTTCACTTGTTCATCAATACACATTTGAGTGTAGTTGCCCAAGGAAGGCAGGAGAAGTGTACAGATCTCTTGGAGCTGGAGTTACAAGTAGTTGTAAGTTGGCTGATGTGGGTTCTGGGAACTGAGTTCTAGTCCTCTGCAGAAGCAGAAAGGGGTTTTAACTGTGAGCCATCCCTCCAGTGCCTCTTGACAGTATTTTCTTACATGGCAAACCAAGACTAAACTTTAGTTTAAGTGTGAGGAATTTGATTATAGATTGTTTTCTGAATCCATTTCAAATCTCACAAACCTGGACAATTTTCCAGATGGTGTGCTGGATTGGGAAGGAGCTCCACGTGTGTCTTGTGCCAGCTTAACTTTGTTAGTTCCAGTCTCGCCCTGGCGAGCTGCCTTGCTATGTACATGTTCAACTGCCTGAAAATCCATTCAGGGCTGCACCTCTAGTGTTTTTTAGAAGTAGGGATTTCTTTGAGGACACTGGTATTGTAGTTTGGTTTCTTCTCATCTTGCTGTTTTAGAAGTTGGGATTTTATAATGCTGATTAGGAGTTTTATTTCAACATCTGTCCTGTCATACTCTATGACAAATGAGATTGCTTTAAAAATACTATTTTTAGCATATGTGAAAATAACATTTTTCTCAATTGTCCTTTTTTTTTTACTGTGATACATATGTAAAGCTATGTTTTGGTAAATTCAAATGATTTATTTTGAGTTTAATGAATTCTGATTAAAAGAAAAACCAATAATTTATATCCTGTATAACTGAAAGGACGGCTGGGTCATCTCTGCTGTTCTGACATAGACTCAGGAGGACTCCAGTGCTGTGCCCACACTTTGAGCGCCTGTGAGGAATGTCCAGTCAAGAAGAGCTTTGACAGGGAATGGTGCAAGCTTCAGATGCTCATATTCACCCCTTAGTGCCAGACACTGTGACGATGAGATGGGATTCTAGAAAAGCGTGGGTTTGGGGCAGAAACCTTTTATGAATAGAGTGTATATATGCATGGTAGGTGTCCTTTTGAAATTCAGGTAGATTGGTTTTTAATAACAGCAGCGTTTGCTTTTCTCAAGAAGCAGTGACTGGGACCTGCTGATAAAGCCTTTGCTCAGAGGCACAGACCCCAGAGTTCTTAGAGCCCTTTCCAGCCATAGGTGAAGCTCATTTTGATGTTTAACATTTAAAAGCCTGTGAAGCGAGTAGGGCAGCATCAATTTTGAGAAAAATGAAGTTAAAAGTAGAACCACGTCTGTGAATAGACCTT